ATATTTATAATTTTAATAAATGACAAATTAAAAAAGCATGAACATTTTTTGTATCGAAAAAATATCGAACCGTGACACCAAAGTATCGAACCGAACCGTGAATTTTGTGTATCGTCGCACCCCTAGTAGATACAGTAGTTTTACTACTAGAACAAATATTAAAACAGAACATATCAGAATCTCTTGTGCTTGGTGAAAAGTGATGAAATACACCAGAACATTCGCAGCATTCAAAAAGTCAAAAGCCTTAATCAACAGCCTTCATTTTGACCAAATATTGTATTTGTTGTGACAAAGACCCTTTTTTTGGGTTTGCTTAATTTAGATCTAAAATCTAAAGCAGAGTCACAGAGTTTTTATTGGATTTGTAGTAAATTGGCTTTGAACACCACCTCCCCTCAACGTTAATTGGTTTGACTCCATCTGGACTGAGCTCTCCTTCCCACTTTGTGTTACTGTACCTTCACACCTCATATTTCACACTTGTGTCTTCTCCACACATTTATTTTTACTTGACACTGCAAACGGGAACAAGTTCATCTGTGATCGTTTCCCAAAAGGAACAGTTGCTCCGGTGATGGTAGCTTCTGGGTGCTTTTACCTATCCTGTCAGTCTTAAAAGAGCTATAGTAGACGGTTAAACTGGTTATGTCATAATAAAGGTTAGAAGTGCCCTGTTTTTGATTTCATCTATCCTCTGATGACTGAAAATTGGATAATAAATAGAAAAATTATCGAAGGCTGCTGATTGGCAGGGTAAAATAAACCGAGCATTAGCCTTCATGGTCTGAGCCATGAAGGCTAATGAGGTGACATGCCGTTCCCTTCTGTCAGTATCCATTCACAAGTCCGTGACAGCGTACACAAAAGACCAAAAGACCTTTAGCCAGTCAGACACGGCTCCCAAATTGGAGCTAATTGCTTTTTAGCCACAACGTCTTTGGGAAAATCAGAATGTGGCTTGTTCGAAAGCATCTCAGTAGGCGGGGGGAATTGTACACTAAATGAATAGCAGCATGTAACAGTTTGTCCACCTAACAGGTTTCGTAACAGAGCCGCTCGGTAGAAGGTGCTCCCCCGGCTGATCAGTGTGTAGAGCTCCCAGTTTAAGCTGAAAGTCTGCGTGACTGTAGCTCAGGTAACTCTCACTTCCTGCCGATTGATTCATCCAAAGCTGCACTGCTGCCAGTTATCTGTTTAACATCAAGGAGGTTTGACAGGGGTGCTGCTCCTCAGCTGGTGTTGGCGAGAAACCAAAATATCCCATTTACCAGAAGTGACAGAAGTGGAGGCTAGTGCTGCGGTGCAGTGATTTCCAACCAGGGCTGTGAGAACGTCAAGGGTTCACAGGGGGAACATGGAAAGATTAGTTTAATTATCGTGCTTAGCTAAAGAACTGAGCGAACCCGAAGAAGTTTGAGCAGAAAAGTTGGCACTTATTGTATTGGACAGGAAGTGCAAAACAGCAGCCATGATGCTTTTTAAATATTTGATGCATTGGTTTCCAGACAATAAAATATAGAGAAGTCATTAAAAACATCTCATCTGCCTTCTTTCGATGTGGAGTAGTGGCTCCACGCTGACTAAAGCCGGGCATACACTGTGCCATTTTTGGCCCATTTTGAGATGATTTTTCAGTTGTGCGACCGTTTTTCGCCTTAATCGTGTGTCGTGCATCATGTAGTATACACGTGGTAACGAGAGACAGAGTTTGTGTTATAACCTTCATGTTATGGACACACAGTGTGAGCACTCAGGTCGCATCAGAGCATCGGGCCGTATAGTGTGAGACCTGCATCGTGACCTATGAACTTCTCACCCCTGAGATTCAATCGTGCAGTTTGAGCAGGAGCTGAATAACGTGACTGAAAAAAATCGAACTCAGGACCGTGTTTGTCCAGCTTAAGTCAAATAACTGAATCTTCACCCTGTCTCTAAGGGAGTAGCCAGACACCTCTCAGAGAAACCTTATTTCTGTCACTCGTCTCCACTCGTATCCATTATTTAGGTGACCATAGAAGATTGTAGAGTCGATTGACATGCTAAAGTTTAAGCTAAGTAGCTTTGGATTTGCATGACCTTTCTGAGAAGAAGAAGCAGTTAAACACTTCAGTACATACAGGGCATAAACACGAATGCATTAATCACAAACCTCTTGAAAATGTTAATTCGAAATGAATTGGTGACATGTAGAAACTGTATTTTAAGGTTTTTTCTCATCTCAGTAGCTTATCAAAGCTTTCTTCATTAAGGTATTTATGCGCTTACGATAACAGAGTTCAAATTGGATTTCAAAAAAAGAATTTGGTCTCTTTTCAATCTTCTTTCAGCATCTGAGCCCAACCTGAAGCTGCGCTCCCGGCTGAAGCAGAAGGTAAGCGAGCGTAGGAGCAGTCCGCTGCTGCGTCGCCGAGACAGTCCCATCACCAGCGCCAAGAAACGCTCGCTCGACATGGCAGGTAAGAGGCAAGCAAACGGCTCGCTCAGAGAGTTTTAGTCCACACTGCTGCTGGTTTCTTGTGTGTTTGATTTGTGTGTCTGCGCGCGTTTCAGACTCGGCATGTAGCAGCGCACCCGGCTCGGGCCCAAGCTCTCCAAATAACAGCTCCAACAACATCCCTAATGAGAACGGCATCACTGTGTCAGTCTCCAACAACACGGAGGTAACGCACACGCATACATTTGCAGTCATAGATGCCATTTATCTTTCTGTTGTTGTTCTTGTAATTTTAGCATAAAACGTATTAAGCCTGATCTCTGAAATTGTAGCCTGGCTCCTTTGTGCCAGCGATGTGCTGCAGGTTCTCTTGTTAGCTTTAAAACATTGCAGCCTGGAGTACGGATGAAGGCTGTGATTGAGGGATGTTCGGATTATTGTTCTGTGGACAAGGAGGCAGGCTGAGGAGCTGGCAAGATGCTATTTGTGGCAGCCATTAGGGGCACTCAGGCAGTGTGGAGGAGGCTTCTGTCCGTGACAGTTTTACATCAGCAGTGAGGGTGCAAATGTAGATCTTTCCCCGTGTGTGGACTATTTCTTCTGTGTGCTGTTTGTTTTTTTTGTTATCTGTGTGCAGGAGGTTTTTTCCCTTGATGCAAACACAGATAAATCATTTAAATGTGTTTTCCAGGCATCTTTGGCCCAGAGGCTGTGCAGCGGTGCTGATCGTGGCTCCGTTAGCCAGCTGTCCCTCTACACTTCCCCATCTTTACCCAACATCACCCTGGGGCTGCCAGCCACTGCCACGGCCACTGCTGCTTCTAATGTAAGGAGGAAACTTGACTGAACAGCTTGCAGACTGTGCATCTCTCTAACTGTGAATTTGTTTTGTTTAGAGTGCACTGTCTCCAACTATCTATTCAAATATGCTTGCACGCTCTTTTCCAGGTGACCTCAGCCCAACAGGATGGAGGCCTGCAGCCAGCCCTCTCCCTCAGCCCTCCATTCCTCTCCGGTGGCCACTTGACCCCCTACTTGGCCGAGGCTGGAGCAGGAACAGGCGGGCACGGTGCACACAGTCCCCTGCTCCAACACATGGTGCTCATGGAGCAGAGTCCAGCGCAGAGCCCCCTGGTGACAGGTAGGGGAAACAATTCAGCTTTTATTAAATACCTTAAAGCATAGACTATATATACATGAAAGATGGCGATAGCCACTGATTTCCAAATTAGCTATTTTTTGCAATCACTATAGTGATCTGAAGGCCGACATGACCGCATCTGGATGAGAGGGTAGACCTCGGGTGTTACCTGAACCCCGGGGACAGCAAGCTGCCCCCGTTAGATAAACAGGCTTAAAACAACATATACTTAGAGGAGAAAACAGCTGCTTCCCTGGAGTGTCCTTTAAATAAAACTGAATATTGAACAAGAGTTAGTTAGTTATCACCCAACTGAGCTCATATCTTGAAGGTTCAAACTCATCTTGGTTTTTGGGGGATAGACAAGAAGTTGTTGGTATTTACTGATGCTACCAAGGAGCATCCATAGACGCAGATACCTGCTAATGAGCGATAATGTGTAACTAAACATGCCACTGACATGTGGCACAATCAGCCATGTAATTTTGTGTTGCTTTTTGATTCATTAGTGACGGAGTCCATGTGCCTTACTGTTTTCAGAGGAATGTTTTTTTTGTTTAAGTTATTTAACACTGAACCATGAAACATTCAAGCATGTGTCATGTGTTAGCAAAGAGCAAGTTTTTAATTATATCTTTAAGGACTTTGCAAGTAGCAGCATGATTAGCTAAAGATATAAAATTGTTTTGTTTTTTTGCACCAACAAGTTAATTCCAAAGAGACATTAGCTGAAAACTTGGTGTCTTAGCGTGTTGTGCAGTGGGTCATAAAAAATTTGAGGAACCCGGACAGAGGTCGTCTAGGATGGATGTCAAAGAGCCGTTCTTAAGTAAGGGAAACACTGTCAGCATCAATGTTCCCTCTAAGCTGCTGCCACGTCTCTGCGCACAAAAAAAATCTAACCTGAATTGAAATTAAAATAAATATGTTAACAATTCTGTTTTGCAGTGTTAGTGAGTGATTGGCTGCTCCTGTATGGGATCAGAACGATGCCACCTTATCCCACAGTCCAGCCAATGATGCGATTCATTATTCGTTTAGCACAAATCTTGTGTAGTTAGCGTGTAGTTAGTGTGTAGTTAGCGTGTAGTGAGTGTGTAGTTAGCGTGTAGTGAGCGTGTAGTTAGTGTGTAGTGAGTGTGTAGTAGTGTGTAGTTGCGTGTGTAGTGAGTGTGTAGTTAGTGTGTAGTGAGTGTGTAGTACAGTGTGTAGTTAGTGTGTAGTGAGTGTGTAGTCGTGTGTAGTGAGTGTGTAGTAGTGTGTAGTTAGTGTGTAGTCAGTGTGTAGTGTCGTGTAGTGAGTGTGTAGTGAGTGTGTAGTTAGTGTGTAGTGAGTGTGTAGTGAGTGTGTAGTTAGCGTGTAGTTAGTGTGTAGTGAGTGTGTAGTGAGCGTGTAGTTAGCGTGTAGTTAGTGTGTAGTTATGTGTAGTGAGTGTGTAGTGAGTGTGTAGTGAGTGTGTAGTGAGTGTGTAGTGAGTGTGTAGTGAGTGTGTAGAGTGTGTAGTAGTGTGTAGTGAGGTGTGTGAGTGTGTAGTTAGTGTGTAGTTAGTGTGTAGTCATGAGTGTGTTAGTAGTGTGTAGTAGTGAGTGTGTGAGTTAGGTAGTGATGTGTAGTTAGTGTGTAGTGGTTAGTAGCGTGTAGTTAGTGTGTAGTGAGTGTGTAGTGAGTGTGTAGTTAGTGTGTAGTAGTGTGTAGTTAGTGTGTAGTAGTGTGTAGTGAGTGTGTAGTGAGTGTGTAAGTGAGTGTGTAGTGTGTAGTTAGTGTGTAGTGTAGTAGTGTGTTGTGTGTCAGAACAATGAGGCGCCTGCTGAGTGTTACAGGTGTTACAGCAGTGACACATCTGCTGCTGTCAGGCCTGCAGGTATCAGGCTGTTGTTCTCCTTCATCTCATAGTGGACACAAATTATTTTTTGGAGCGGCACAAATAATTTGTGTGGCATCAGATTTGATGCAGAACAGCTGATTGTTCTGTAAATAGTTTGAAATGTTTTTTAAAAAACACCTTGGCTGCATTTTTAGGTAAACAGCTGCAAAAAACTTTGTTTGCAAAACTCAGTAACTTTTTTGAAGAAGTAACTATATAATTAATGCCCAACATTGGTCATTATTTACTGTATTTTGCAGACAGAGTTACAGGACTCTCTCCCAGACCACAGACTCATAATACAAGTCAGAGCTTTATTAAAAAAAAAAGTTGTTATAGTTTGTTTATATAGTGTTAACATGCTACAGGTCATGAACAAGATTATTTTTTTTCATTGTAAGTGGGCTAAAGCAGTTAATTAAAAGTCGTCTAACATAAATGCTGTAATTGGATTATTTTAGGGGCAGCACGGTGGCACGGTGGTTAGCACTGTTGCCGCACAGCAAGAAGGTCCTGAGTTCAATTCCACCATCAGGCCGGGGTCTTTCTGTGTGGAGTTTGCATGTTCTCCCCGTGTTTGCGTGGGTTCTCTCCGGGTACTCCGGCTTCCTCCCACCGTCCAAAGACATGCAGCTTGTGGGGATAGGTTAATTGGATAATCCAAATTGCCACTAGGTGTGAATGTGCGAGTGAATGGTTGTCTGTCCCTGTGTGTTGGCCCTGCGACAGACTGGCGACCTGATGACAGCTGGGATAGGCTCCAGGATAAGCGGAAGTGAATGGATGGATGGATTATTTTAATAAACATGTGACTTGGATGGATTGGATGCTGGCGTGACCACAGTGCACACGTCTGCTGCTGCTCACAGTAGTCCAGGGGACGCTCAGGGAGTTTGTGTGTTCGCTCACACACATGAAACATTAGAGGGAACGTTGGTCAGTATGTATGGTAGAGGTAAGGAGAGCGCTACAGCAGTGAATGTACAGGCATCTGTAAAACACGGTGGAGGCTCTGTCATGATTTGGAGCTGCATTTCAGGCAGTGATGTTGGAAATCTTGGACAATTTGATGGATCCCTCAGAGCCCGACATTATTGAAACAGTGTGGGATCATCCTGACAGAGAACAAAAGGCAGCCTAATCCGAAGAAGAGCTTTGAATGTCCTTCAGGAAGCCTGGAGAACTGTCCCTGAAGACTGCTTAAAGAAATTACCGAAAGCTCCCTAAGAGAGTCCAGGCTGTGTTGAATAAAGTTGGGCCATACCAAATATTGACTTTTGACCATTTATTTTTGCATGTTTCATTAAGCCACTTAAGCTATTTTCCGTTTTCCTAGCAAAATATAAAGAAATGAAGGACAGCTGAAGACTTTTCCACAGTGCTGTATAACGGTTCAACCTGTGTAGTTGTCACAGATGCTAAAATTGGCTGTAGATATCCAAAATATCTGTAAAGATGTTATTTTTGCTCTAAAGTTGGACATTTTAATAGTGCAGTTAATGGAGAATTTTTAGAGTTAGAGTTTTAGAGTTAACACTTTTAGAGTTGGTCTCAAGTGGCCATTAGAGGAACTGCAGTTTTTGGTACTTACTGCTTCGTTTTACAGCCTCGGCTTGATTAAATGTTATATAAATAGCAGCAGTAGCTGAGAAAAAGCAACAAAAGAATCAAATGCAACGTAAACGAAAAGTCAAAATATTCATTTTTGCTCCTGGAGCCATCTGGTTTCACACGCACACATATGCACACACACACATGCACGCACACACACGCACACGCACGCACACGCACGCACACACACGCATGGACGTGCAGAAAAATAAAACCATCATCGCTGTGTGCCCCCTCACACTGACAGACGTCCATTCATTAGCTCGACCTAATGAGCTGCTTTCATATGTCAGCATATGCTGTCTGAGTATGACATGGGTCCATTGTGTGCCCTTTCTCATCGGCTCATTCACTCACTACCACACTGCGTCTATTTTCAGTGGGGCATTAGCAGTGAATGAGCAGTGACGCAGATACAGACGCACGTATGAGAATGCGTGTATTCTTGTCCAAAAACGTACAGACAGGGACGTATCAATGCCCACGCACAGGCCAAGAGCTGGAGAGTGTGAATCGTTACGTGCAGCAACAAGCTACTTATCAGAAAGACGCACTTTTAACCATGAAAACTTAACACTAACTCTTCTGTTTCATGTCAGCTCCTCCCCGGCTCCTTCTCTTTAAGTTATCGGTTTGAAAGCACAGCGATGTGGTGCCTCTGAGGCTCCGCGTCTGCTTTCTTACTTTTTCTCAGTGCTGCGACACTCGGCAAGCTGATCTGAGCTGCTGAGATGATCTCGTGTCACTACAATGGGAGATTCACAGTGTTGCAGCACAGATGGTTGTTTTTATTCGGTTCGCAAATACATCTGCTAACTAATCCGAGGTCCAACGACAACATTAGGAACACATCATATTTATCTTGAATATGAGCGCTCTCATCAGTGCGGTTTATACCAAGAGTTCGGGATTTTCCTCAGGTGTTTTCGCTCCAGTCTGGGAAGTCTTAACCGAGACTCCTGTGAGCTGTAATCGAAGCCAGCTGGACTTTACCTGCTTCCCCGCCCCTCTGCTTAGACGTGAACCTGTTCGCGATTCGATTGTTCAGATTCTCGCTTCTGATTTTTAATTTGGAAAAACAGGGTCGCCACTCTGGAAATGCTGTCATATTTCCCCTGAGCTAACCGCCAGAATAGACTGCACACTCAAGTAACCATGAATCATTATGACACCTAGTCTAAATAGTCGCTCAGGTGCTCAGAGCCACTTCAAGACACGTCATTGACAAAACACTGCTTCAGCACATTTTCCTAAAAAGCTGCACGAAACTGAAGCAATGTTGTAAGATAATGCATCAAGCGCAGGGCCCGGATTGGCCTGAAGCAATGCTGCTGCTGTTACTGAGAAATCAGGCGCCTTGCCAGACTACTTTGAAACAATGCTTTGGTATCTGCTCTGCCTTATGTAGTAACGTCTGCCTTGTTTGTGTCTTAGGTGTAAGCGGCCTGTCTATGTCGTCAGCAGCGTCCATGACCAAGCTGCAGCGGCAGCACCGGCCCCTGGGGAGGACCCAGTCGGCCCCGCTGCCCCAGGGGGCCGCGGCCCAGGCTCATGCGCAGGCCCTGGCACTGCAGCAGCTGGTGGTCCAACAGCAGCACCAGCAGTTCCTGGAGAAGCACAAGCAGCAGTTCCAGCAGCAGCAGCTCCACCTAAACAAGGTATTCAATTTGGGTTTGAATTGAACTTGTGATTTGTTTTAAAGGCAGCTTGTCTCCGGGCGCGTTTGAATGCAAAGTGGTGCCGTTTTGTTGAATCATGCATCCATGTTGCTTTATAACATGTCGTCTCAGGCAGGGGGTTCGAGTGGCCAGAAATCTGATATCACATTCACATAAACTGATAATTAATGGAGGCTATGAGTCTCAGAGGGCCAGCTCTGGAGCTGTAGTGTAGTAGTTTGCGTAGGCAGCACCGGGCTACACAGCCAATAATGTGTTAGCTTTGGCTGTGTGTGAAGTTGTTGACTTTCCTCTGCCCTCTCTTTCTCTCTCTGTAGTATTTTTGTTTGTGAGTAGGTGGAGGCAGGTATGGGTTAACATGTATAGCTGTGTGTGTCTGTGTGTGTGTGAATGCTTGCATCCACGTCTCTGCGACTGTGGCCGAGACAGTTGCCACGGGCTGCGAGGTAACCATGCGCTGCCATGGCAACCGCGCCGGAAGCCTCTGCCTTATATGGGCAGGGAGGAAGAGAGCAGCTGCCGCTTTACCTATTCAAGAAGGGTACGTGCTGGAGGAGAGGTGGGTGGATGAAACAAGGGATTTCCTCTCCTCCTCCTCCTCCTCCTCCACCTCCCCCGCACTGCTCTGCTCCATCTCACTCCCTTCATATGTTTCAGAGATCTCAAGTGGCAGATTTTTACACAAACACCTTTCTCAACAGCCTCTGGCACGCTAAGGACGGCTTTCTGCTTGTTTTTGCCAGGACAAAAAGAAGAAAGAAAATCTCTATTTTAGCATGTTATTCTGTCAAATTAATACAAGAGGGGATAAAAGAGCTGGTTTTGTTCCTTTAAATATCTACTGTGAATGTAGATATAGATAAGATTTTTTTATTTTTTTATTTTTTTTACATCTGACAAGTTGATCTAAACTCGAGTCCTTTTGGTTTCAAACTCTCATACTAGGAGATCTCTGACATGTAAAGGAAAAGGTCAGCAACAGGTTTTTGTGTCCCAGAGTTGGATGAGAAGGTTGATTACTGTTATGCGTGCAGCTTACAGCCGGCCCAGCTCTGTCCTGATGTAGCAAAACCTGCCTACCAGCACCTCTAAACATCACTGCTACCTAGTTTTTAAAATGTGTGCAAATAGCTTTGTTTTTGAAAAGCTATGATCCAGATTAGTCTTTGCTTCCTTGCGTTCTGTCACCACATCTTTTGCACTGTTCCTCTAAAATTTGTCCTGATCTACTTACGTGCATTAGGCACAACATCATTTTTTCACATGAACATTCATGAAATGTGTCATTTTGTTAGGTTTGTGCATTTTTTAAGCATTACGAAAGTGTCAGCTTCAGCTCAATTACATCCTCACTTGAAGACCAGTGCTACGGTTAGGGTAACCAGATCCTAGCAAACCAAAGAGATTATTAATGTAGGGCACAGCCTTCAGTATTATGGTAGTGAAAAAGTTTGATTTAATGTATCGCTACTTTGTAAAATAACACACAGCAGTACGGTGGCTCTGAGAGGTCATACACACTGTGACTTAAAATATCAGCAAATAGAAAAATTGCGCAAAAGGACACTAAACACAGTGGATTTTGAATAAAATACAACAGAAGTAGAAAAAAAAGAAAAACCACAGAAAAGTGTTTTTGGGCAGACAGTTTGACGAGCTAATGGCAAACATGTATCTCTAGTATTATGTTAAAATGGTTATCATTTCAGGTGTTTTCTTTATTAATGGATACAATAGAATGAATATATGATCAAGTTAGGTTTCCTGTTAGCCAAATTTAGGTTGCTCTTGTTGGTTTGCTAGTGAAAACCTTTAATAGCATTAGCTAACTACTTGGCTAACGCTAATGCTGAATGCATTTCATTAATGTAACATTTTACATTTTACTTCTGTAATACAATTACATGGAAAATGACATGTAGTCAAATTAGCTAAAGCCAGCATTTCAGCCATAAATATGTTTGAGTGTAGGTTGCCTTTAGCATGTGTCATTCCCTTTATTTAAATGACACTTTTTCAAAGCATACAAAGAGAATAAAAAAGATGCTTATGAGGGCTTAAACTACACTACTGATGCATTATTAACTATATGAACTGAGGGTGAGAGTGATACAGTTTGACTCTCCCACACATTGTAAGTGTTCATATAACTGTAATCCATTCTTATTTTAAATAGAATTACTCAGTGGTTCCTGCTTTTGCACTTTAGGTGACGCTTCATATTTTTTCTCAAGCAACCGTTATGAACATGGCAGTACTGTAAAACAAACACCACATTTAAGATATTCAAACTTCTCTTTTAGCACCACATATATAACCATATACCTAAAAGTCATTATTCGCTTAAAGTTCATAAAGCCATCCTGCTAACACCAATTCAGTTACTGCACTTTAAAATGCACAAAATGTAAAGAGAATACATAAAAAACTGAAACAAGTCAGGAGGAAACGGGAACAAAAATCGGATCTTTTCAGTTTTGTCCAACACTGCAACAAAAGCAGGTATGCCCACACACACTGTGCACTTAAGCACCCTGGAAAGAGGCTGGCTGAAACTCAAGAACTGCACTGGTTTAGCATTACAATCTAGCACCACGCTGGAAACAGCACAAACAGTCAATTCTATAGCCTCAAAGTTCATCTTACCTTAGATGTTCTTCTTCGCTTTGTACTTTTTTTGTGAGCATGCAGATTCCAACAAGGCCTTCCCCTGGAGTGCATAGGTGTACAACTTCTTACAACTGTATCCAAAGTTCCTCTCGACTTGAGTTTCACACTTTATGAGTTGTGCAGAGCGCCGTAGTGTAGCTGGTTTACATATTTGGTGGTTTAACAAGCAAAAGATCCCGAGTTCATCCCGGGAGGAGACAGAAATCCCTTTGGGGCTATATCAGGAAAGGCAATGGAAAACAAAAAAAATTAAAAACATGTAGCACCACCTGTTGTGGTGCAACCCGTTGTTAATAAGGAGCACACCGGCTCTGTTGGTCAGCCCAAAAAGGAAAAACTCTACAAAGGCACTTGTAACAGGAATTTCAGAAGAGAAAACATCCAACGGCAGCCATACTTGGTGTCTTTCTGCCTTGAAGAAAGGTTGCCCAGATTCTTCTAGCCACAGTTTCCTGCAAGCGTGGATCCGTTACATGGTGTTCTTTATACAAGTCATCCATGTCCAACTTTCCCCTGATACATAGTACCTCAGCTGGATCAGAGAAATGGAAGAACCTAAATGTAAACATGCTTCTATTAGTTGCTGTCTGAGAAGCCATACCATTTTACAACAGACGTGCGCACAGTTTGTGTAGCTCAAACAAATAAAAGCAACGTTTAATTTGGCTAAATAGCAGAATAATGCTAAAGATCAAACCACACACAAAAAGCAAGATGGCCTGGATCACGTATCAAAATTAGTTTAGTAAGAAACAGAAAACTAAAGTCAGAAGAAGGTTTTCTAGTCACGATATGGTTTTGGCTTGGGACGACCCCACACTCCTGTGCACATAGGACAGGAAGAGCAGGTATCTGTGAGAGAAGATGTGGTCATGTTTCTGAACTTCAGATAAAATATCTGTGTTAGCAAAAGCTTCAGAACTATCATGGTCCCAAGGTCTTGACACAGAGTGGGGTTTTTTGTGGGGATTATCGCTCACAGTGTTTTGAGTTTGTCTCCTTGTTGGCATTCTCTGTTTGGGTTTGCTGTGTTTGCACTCTCGGGTTTTCTCCTTCACTGTGTTCCTTAAAGGGAAGCCTCATTACCTTGTGTATTTATTGCCTTTTGTGGTGTCGTCCACCGTCTTCCTTCTTTTCTTTCTTCAGTAATCCGACATATCATACAGGAGTGTTTGCATACATATACACAGAATAGTTTGAACTAGCGAGACCGTACCTACCTCTTGACAGTACCACGGTACTGCTTCTGGACGGGTGTTGAAACAGTGATGAAGTAGAGCCCAGAGGAGTAAACATTGTTTATCTGTCAAAATTTAGTAAGTAAAATAATAATATTTGATGGATACTTGCTTCTCTGATTGGCTCCAGTCAAACTTTTAGCTAATAAATCTGATTGTGATTGTGAGCTGCTAACCTCCGGATTACCTTTCATCTCACCGCACTGAACGTCTCAACAACTTTAAAGTTAAGGGAAATATTTTCATCCTAAGTTTGTTTATTTAAAAATGGCAATTTTCTAAAAGTTACACATGCCATTTTTCCCGTTTTCCTGTTATACCTGGGAGAGACCACTAGTCTCTGTAATGTAGGGGAGAAAGTGTCAGGTAAAATACGGACTACCGTATTCTACTAATTATGTAACTGATATGATAAAGAAATATATCTGTTTCGATAATATATGGTTTCAACATCGAACAGTTCTGGTGTCATTTGGCTCTTGAATGGGCACCAAGCTGTACATGAGTATACTGTATGCTCATTGGATAATCCAGCCCAGATAACAACATAGGCCAGTCAAGAACAAGTGTATGATTGCCAAACTCCAAAATAAAAGATGTTAAAAACAACACAAAGGAGCAGCTGGAGCTGGATGTGGGTTGCAAAGTGGCTTGCAGTTGCAGCAGAGACTATAGACAAGCTAAAGCAACTTGAATACTGGGCCCTGTATATGAACACAGGTATTACCTGAGTGTAGATTTTGTGGTCTAACATTATGCTCATTTAATAATTAGTCACATATAAATGTAATCAGTTAATTACTGCTATAGACAAACAGCCAGTTTACCAGTGTAAATGTGTCAGATTAGCACCAAGTTTAATAAAACAGAACCTTTCCTGTCTTTTATCTTTGTCTGCTTTAACTTGGCTGCTAATGAAATGAAGGGCATCAGTTTGAAGCAGATAGGCAGGAGGATTCTGGGAAAGTGGAGCGGGGGGGGGGTCAGAGGTCAGCGCAGGACGTGAAAAATGGGTAAGGGTGGAAAGGAGAGGAAAAAGAAAGAGGGAAAAGAAACGTCTGTTTGGATGCAAAGAAGACGAGAACAGTAACACGGAGGAGGAAGAGGAGGAGGAAGAGGAGGAGGAGGAGGTTGAAAGGGAGTTGGTGAATGCTCTGACGTCAAGGCTGTCCCCTGGCACTGAGCCAAGGGGACCCAGAGGACACACACCAAACCACCCCCACACATACACACAGCCACTCATGGACACAACCACAGACACACACACACAGACACACGACACACACAACACACACACACAACACACACACCACACACAGCCAACACACACACACACACACACACACAGAACACACACACACACACACACAGCACACACACACACACACACACACACACAGCAAACACACACACACACACACACACACAGACACAGACACAGACACACACACAACACACACACACAGACACACGACACACACACACACACACACACAGACCACACACACACACACGACACACACACACACACAGAACCCCACTACACTTACACAGACACACACACACACACACACACACAACACACACACACACACACACACACACACACACACACACACACACACACCTGTAAATGTAGCTCACTCTTGAGACTTCCAGCAAACACTTCTCTCTCTCAGCCTTCATATCGTACACTCTGTGGAGGCGAGTACTCTCGGGCCCCTTTAGCGGTTCGTGTCAGTAAAAGTGAATGAAGAGACAACTGAGTCACCGCTCGGTTAACGGGGGGCCCAGAATGAGTCGACTGAAAAGAGACGCGACGGGGAGCGGGGAATGTCTCTGTTCTGCGAGACACATTTTGCCCCGGAGTACAGTCGGGAGAGCGGCTACTCACATTCAATTAGAAAGGATAGGTTTGAAATGAGCAAGACACCAATCTGGCTGAGTAATCCAAATTAAGCTTGTTAAAAGAAGAATGCTCGAGAGGAAAGAGCGCTCTGCCAGGAATTTGTTTCAGAGGAGAGCGTGCCCGTTTGCCTTGAATGCAGCCTCACACGTTGGATTTGTCGCATCCCGCTGTTCGATTGTGAAATAAATTTCACGTCGCGGCATCATCGCCCTCTCTCCCCTTTCTGTGTCTCCCTCTCTCTCTCTGCCTGCGCCGTGTCCCGCAGATGATGGCCAAGCCCAGCGAGTCGCCCGTGGGCCGTCAGCACCAGAGCCACCCCGAGGAGACAGAGGAGGAGCTGAGGGAGCACCAGGACGGAGGAGGCCTGCCGCACGGGGTCACCATCAAGCAGGAGCCCCCCGACCCCCAGGAGCTGCAGGAGGAGGTGCTGCAGCAGCAGCACAGGGAGAGGGAGAGGCAGGCTGAGCAGGAGCTCCTCTTCAGACAGGTAAAAGATGAGGAGTTAACTTTTAGAGCACCTGATTGGCTTAAATAGGTTGTAGGTGTTCCTGGGGAAGTCCTGGAGTGTGGCGGGGGGTGGTTTGAAAGAAATGGCACAGCGTTCATGAGATTAAGAAGCAAAAGGGACGATCAAAGCCAGATTATTTGTTTTGGCTGCCACCTTTTGGCCACAAGTTGCGCTTGCAGTAAAAAAAAGCATCAAAGAGTTTTATTATCTAAACATTTTCCAGAATTCCCATCCTTTATTTTTCACTTTTGTGCGTGCGAGCAGCAGGCCCTGCTGTTGGAGCAGCAGCGGATTCACCAACTGAGAAACTACCAGGCCTCCATGGAAGCTGCCGGCCTCTCTATCTCCTTCCCGGGACACCGCCCCCTGTCCAGGGCCCAGTCATCTCCGGCCTCCGCTTCCTCCTTCCCGATCAGCGTCCCCACGCCCGATCCTCCAGTCAAGCCTCGCTTTACCACAGGTCAGCATCGCCCTCCTCTCCTCCCACTGAAGCATCACGTACTGTGTGCGTGCTCGTTTGCTTACACGTTAACTCAAATCTACAATCACTGTAAAGCAACCAGTAGGATTCATCGGCAGTTTAGCCGCCTCCCTGTGAGTTTAATTTCCATCTTAATGCACTCGGGACTGGAAAGGAAAAAAAATCACCCAGAAATCAGGTGAATTGGCCAGAAAACGCTGGGCTAGTTCCAGCCTCCATCTGGTAGCAGAAATAGACGAGCTGGATCAGTGAATCTTGCCAAAATCTTTGTCTCTCCCACTCTGTTGTTTCACTCGTTGAGGAGAAACCTTTTTCTTTTTTTTTTAAATCTCCTCCCAGCCGCTTCAGCGTGTCTTTTAGGAAGCGCACTTTTGTGACAGTTCTTGCATGCGAGCACCACAGCTGAAGATATTTTTAGTTTGGCCTACTTTGCTCCGATTCAGTTCCAAACTACAGAAAAATGTGCGGGAAAAGCACAGCTCAACAGCAAATATCAAACAAGGATCTGATGCCTCAGCTTTTCAAAATAAAAGAGTAAGGCGTTCATTTAGACCGCTATTGTGTAGATTAACAAAAATGAAGGTGGTATTTCACAATCAGTGTGTACGAGCATTTGAACGAGTGTAGTGAATGTTTCCATGTGTTTCCAAGGCCTCGTGTATGACTCCCTGATGCAGAAGCATCAGTGCATGTGCGGCAACACCAACAGCCACCCGGAGCATGCGGGACGCATTCAGAGCATCTGGTCCCGACTGCAAGAGACTGGACTCAGAGCTCAGTGTGAGGTAGGCTTGCAAAAGATGTAGATATCCAGCATCCACCAGCCGTCGCGCAAAGTAGTGAACCGCTTATGTGAGCTGAATCCATCTGTGTGTCTGTCTGTGTGTAGTGCATCCGTGGGAGGAAGGCCACTCTGGAAGAGCTGCAGACAGTTCACTCTGAAGCCCACGTCCTGCTGTATGGAACCAACCCACTCCGACAGAAACTTGATTGTAAGCCTTTA